GGAAGAATTCGTTACAGCAATGCGAAGACTTCCTCCAGGCATGGAACAAAGCAGGTTTCGACGCCCACAAGGTGGACGATGAGCACCAGCTCCACGTAGAATGGCCAACCATTATGGACAAGCAGCGCAAGAAGTTACAACGCGACACCAAAACCCGTACCCCCGAAGGTCCCAGTGGAGGCGGTCGCCCGTATTCATGGGCTGACGGTGGCAATGTTGCGCCAGGTTCCCCCCCAGTACCCGCCGGTGACAGAGACGCCACGCAAGCAGCTGCCTCAGGTGGGCCCAGTGGAGATGATCGCCGGCGCCCATGGAGCAAACCAAAAGAGGCCACATGTTCCCCCCCGCTGTGCGCCGACTACAGAGTTGCCACACAGACAGGCGCATCCAGTTCAGCCGCCCAATGGGATTCATGGCAGTCCTGGGATGGGTGGGGCCGCCGGCAGGGCACGTGGGCCGACACAGACTGGAGGGCCAGGGAGAAACGAACTGCCCCCAGAGGAGACGCTCACTATGCTGACAAACGACAGCGTGGACGGGACTCTGCCCGCAAGTGAGCTCGCCTGGTCTATCCAAAAGGTACGTTGTCTCCTCCATTTCCCCAGGCCCAGGAAGGCAGCCCCATCGTCGAGGGGCAGTCGGCTAGGGCTCCAGCGCGCTCTCCCTGCTCTTGCCCTCCCCTGCTCTCTCAAGAACGCTCCACGAAGCTCGTCTGCGGCTGAGGCCACTTTTCCCCCCATGACGACACTCAGGGTCGCTACTCTGCCCGTCTCGGAACGCAACTCATGCTTTCTGGACAACAGTGACCTCGGACAGCTTGGGACAGCATCCACCTCCCTATATAACGTGGTCTCCATCGCGCTGACGCAGTGGGCCATATGGGACCCTTCCGTGCCCAACGGAGGCCTATGGGTTGGCAGCCCAATGGTCCTCGATCGCCCCTTTGCTGCACACAGGCACGCATTTGGTGGGGGCGGAAGACTACGCTGACAGCTGCCCCCACAGGCCACCGCCGACGGGGTGGCTCCTTCACGACAGGGGCTCGTTTCACCGCAGTGACAGGCCTTGGCCTTAATGCACTCGTGTCACCTCCTGGGGGTGAGGTGCACCTCTCACAACACGACGTCTAGACTCCAACGGTGCATCGTAGGTTCTTAGTCCGTGTGGTAATTGCTGCGATAATTCCTGCCCGCGGTTCATTTTGGCCTTGTTCACACGGACATGGGCCCGTCTCGCCCGCTTGGGCACTCACTTTGGATGGCTGGGGCCGCAGGCCTAAGGCCCGCCCCATACGCTCCACGCGCTGCACATCCGACGACTGGTGACCTTGCTCTGGTGGCGTTCCCCCCCACCAGGCAGGCGCCTTCCGCTGATTGCATTCCGATTGCGCCATGTTGGGTCCTCGACTGTCTGTGTCGCCACATGGCTCTCCTCTTCCTCCTCCTTTGATTTGCGGCTATCGGCTGCCCCCCCCCCTCTTCCTTCGCGACGACTGCAGTGGCGGGCCCTTCGACGTGTTCGTTCTCGCGCAATAGGGTGCGCTCATTGTGGCACTGGCGCGTCAAGTCCGCTGGCGCCCGGAGACTACACTGACAGCTGCCCCCACGGGCCACCGCCGACGGGGTGGCTCCTTCACGACAGGGGCTCGTTTCACCGCAGTGACAGGCCTTGGCCTTAATGCACTCGTGTCACCTCCTGGGGGTGAGGTGCACCTCTCACAACACTCCGTCTAGACTCCCACGGTGCATCGTGGGTTCTTAGTCCGTGTGGTAGTGGCTGCAATAATTCCTGCCCGCGGTTCACTTTGGCCTTGTTCACACGGACATGGGCCCGTCTGCCCGCTTGGGCACTCACTTTGGATGGCTGGGGCCGCAGGCCTAGGGCTCGCCCCATACGCTCCACACGCTGCACATCCGACGACTGGTGACCTTGCTCTGACTACGCCATGTTGGGTCCTCGACTGTCTGTGTCGCCACTTGGCTCTCCCCCTCCTCCTTTGTTTTCAACCGATTTGCGGCTATCGGCTGCGCCCCCCCTCTTCTTTCACGACGACTGCAGTGGCGGGCCCTTCGACGTGTTCGTTCTCACGCAATAGGGTGCGCTCATTGTGGCACTGGCAGGTCGGGCACACCGGCTTCCTGCACCTGGGGCGCAGTCTGGCAGGGACGTGCTCACCGGTCTGGCGTCCCGCCAACAGCTCGCCAGCGACGTCGACCTCCTCTGGAGGGCTCCTTGGTTCGGACTCCAGTGGTGCAAGGCGGCAGGCGGCTCTAATTCTTTCGCTCACCGGCAGTTCACAGCCGACGGTTGGTGGTAACGTTCTGGCCCACGTGACGCCCCCCCCTGTGCATTGTTGTTTCTACTCGACTTCACGTCAAGTCCGCTGGCGCCTGGTTCTGTGAAGACCAAGCTTCGAGCACATGAGGTGTTTGTGAGTGAGGCTTACGTGGTTTTGCTATCCTTCGTTGCACTCACGGGCGGGCTTCTGCCTGGGTTTCAGCTGCTGTTTGTGTCTGTTTTTTTTTTGTGCCTATTGGTTGTGTGTTTTATTTTTTTTTTTTTTGTTGTTTTTTGTTTTGTTGTGTGTTGTTTATTTTTTTTTTTCTTGTTAGTATTTGTTTTGTTTTGTTTTTGTGTTGTTTTCTTTTTTTTCCTTTCTTTTGCTGTTTGTCTTTGCTTGTGTTTTTGTTGCTCGCTGTGCCTGCCCTTCGCCGTCCGGTCTGTCGGGTGCTGGCGCCACTGTGCGACGCCCCGCAGTCCGTCGTCGGCTGCCGTTTTGGATCGGCTTAATGGGGCTCATTTTGTTCCTCGCATGTGCATTCCGGCGTTGGCTTTTGGCCCGCTGGCAATTATCTCGCTTGTTGCCCCAAACTTGTTTCGACCCGCTCTCTGGAATCGTCTTTGGAGCCGCAGATCAAAAAAAAGTAGCCCCACCAGCCTATCTAGTAACGATGCCCAGGCGACTTTCCCTGATCGGGGATGTGGAGGAGCAAGCAATGAAAGAAACCGCTGGGGAAGCCGTCATACACCAAGACGCGGATCATAGAGGATGATGAGTCAGAGTCGGAGTCGGAGTCGGAGTCAGAGTCGGAGTTGAAGTCGGAGGAGGAGGATAGGGATGAGGATGGGGATGGGGATGGGGATGAGGATGAGGATGAGGAGGATGATGATGCGATGACGATTATGATGATGATGATGCTGATGATGATGATGATGATGAGGTGATGACGATTTTGAGATTTGATGATTGAGATGATGCTGATGATGATGATGTGATGATGATGATGATGATGAGAGGAGGAGGAGGAGGAGGAGGAGGAGGAGGAGGAGAGAGGAGGAGGAAGAGGAGGAGGAGGAGGAGGAGGAGGAGGAGGAGGGGGAGGGGGGGGGGGGGGGAAAGGGCTTGGGGGATGAGGGAGGAGGAGGAGGAGGAGGAGGAGAGGAGGAGGAGGAGGAGGAGGAGGAGGAGGAGGAGGAGGAAGGAGGAGGAGGATGGAGGAGGAGGAGGAGGAGGAGGAACGGGCGGATGAGGGAAGAGGAGGAGGAGAGGAGGAGGAGGTAGGAAGGAGGAGGAGGAGGAGGCGGAGGAGGAGGAGGAGGAGGAGGAGGAGGAAAAGGAGGAGGCGGAGCAAGGGGAGGTGGAGGAGGAGGAGGAGGAGGAGGAGGAGGAGGAGGAGGAGGAGGAGGAGAAGGACTGCGAGCATAGAGGCAATAAACCAATCGGATGCCTCTTGGACTCTCTTCGGATATTTCTTGAGAGCTTTTTGGAGTCTTCTCGGGGCGTGTTTGGGGCTTCTTGGCTGCCTTGGGGGTCTCTTGGAGCGTCTAAGGTGCCTCGGGGGAGCCTCTTGAGGCCTCTTGGGGCTCTCTTGAGAGCTTCTTGGGGACCTCTTGGGGGCCTCTTCGGGCCTTCTGGGTGCCCTCTTGCGGCACTCTTGGGGGCCTTGGGGGAGCCACCTTGGGGCCACCTTAGAGGACATCGACCAACGAGGCGGGGGTACTAAATTAGGCTCCAAACCACTTACGCAAGGGCTGGTGGGACCACGCGGTGAAAGCCATGTTGTGTGAGCCACGAGGCGGCGGCATGGCGAACATTTGATATGCGGTGCAGACACGTGGTGCAAGGCAGGGGCGGCCATCGGCGGCAACGTGGCGAAACCTCGCCGGACCCACCCAGCGCACGAGGCGGCCACGAAGCGGCCACGGGAGGACGAGGCGGCCACGACGCGGCCACGGGCGGCAACATGGCGAACCCCCGCCGGACACACCCAGCGCACACGGGGCGGCCACGCAGTGGAAGGGATGTGGTGCAAGCTGTGGTGCAAGTTGCGTGGTGCAATCTACGCGGTGCGTGCTGGGCGGCCGCGGGCGGCCACGGGGCGGCCACGGGCGGCCACGGGACGGTGACGGGCGGCCACGGGTGGGCACGTGCGTCCACGGGGCGGCCGCGGGCGGCCACGGGGCGGCCACCAAACCTATCTTCGGGTTACCCACCCATTAGATCTTTAGGCATCGGGGAATTGGGCATCTTCAGGCATTGGGGGATGCACTACGTATCTATAGACACCTGCTGGACCTCGAGGCCCGATGTCGCAGAGACCGTGTGGCCCAAGACATGTGTGTATATCTGCATGCACGGTGGCGCTTTTGTATAAGTGCGGTGCACTCTCAAAATGTCTGTATGATATTGTGCTGATGTATCAAAATGTGTAGACATTCGCGCGCGTGTATGTCGTGTGTGCGCGATGTACGTCTTCCTTAACCCATAGACGTACGCGCGTGCGCACATGTCCTACTACACACGGCAGTCGCATATCAGTGTGCATCATCGCGCGTGTCCGCGGGCCGAGTACTTCCTCGACGTTCCCGGTGTCGCGCTGAGTTGAGCTGTATTGGGGTACGCGCCACGCATATCAGCGCTGAGACTTACTGTCTCGTCCACCTTTCCTTCCCATGCGCCCCTTGCATGTCGGAGGATGCGTGCGCGTGCAGCCGCCGAGGAACGGCGGATCGAGCCCAGGCTGGAGTCCACCTGGCGGGACATGCACACCACCAGCCTCCCGCACTGGAACCTGAGCACCATCTCCCACAAGATCTTCGAGACGGAGAAGGGCCTGCACGACGTGCGCTTTGAGCTGAACTCGGAGGCTGGTCTGCTGGATGCCCCAGACCTGCTGTGGGAGCAGGCGCTCGCGGAGCGGCTGTACGACCAGGTGGTGGCCCACTTCGACGTGCGGCGCCGCACCTCGCTGCTCAACGAGCGACTGAGCCACTCGATGGACTACCTGCAGATGCTGAGCGAGCACGTCAGGCACAAGTACTCTCGGGCGGGCGGTGACGGGGGGTGACCTGAATGGGCGGTGAAGACAAGGGCCCTCAAGAGGCCCTTCTCTTCATCCCCCCTGCAGGTCATCCCCCATTACCACCGTCCCGATACTCGGTGCGCCTCGAGCGTATCATTATCGTCCTCATCTTCCTGGACGGGCGTGTGGGCCGACGCGCGGCGGGCCGCGCAGGGGGGAGATGCGACGGCACAAGGGCCCATGACCGTTTTGTGTGTGTGAGAGAGAGAGAGAGAGTTTGCTCCCGACGTCATCGCCGTTCGTCGTTGTCGTCGTCGTCGTCGTCGTCGTCGACGTCCTCGACGTCGTCTTCGTCCTCGTCCTCGTTCGCGTGGCTTGGGAACGGCCATCTGTCAGGCAGCTCGACCGTTTCGGATCGCTCGTCGTGCCCTGCGAGATCGGAGAGGCCCCGGGCCCGCGCCCGCCCCTGGGGCACCAAGATTGGCAAGATGGTGCTGGGAAGGCCTGCTTATGGAGATGGGAGGTGGGGAAGGAGTACACCCATCGGAAATCTCAAACAAAAGCAGCAACGTTCGTAGACTCCAGATGTCGCTTGCGAATATCAAGATTCTGAACTGGACCCTGGCTGGGCGTTTTCTTGGATTTGTCCGTTGCGTGTTCGTATATGTGATACATACATATACATATACACACATACATACACATATATATAGCTCTGGCTCGAGCTACCGTGGTTTCCAGAGCGGGGACGCTATGCCCAACGTCCTGCAATCCGGGCTCTTATGTCACACACTGACGGCTCACATGCGGCTTGTAGCATGGAATCCGATGCATCTGCAAGATTATGACAAGCGCCTCGAGGTTTCACGAGAATTACAACATGTGGATGCGGTATTGTTCTCTGGCACCCAGACCAAGACCATCGACGCCTATGACACACTCAACGACTGAGTTCCTCATGCTAAAGTTCGGCTGGCACCGATGCAACAAGAACGCCACGGGCAACAAATCATGTGGTACGGAGATCTGGTTCAGCAGACGATGGTTCAGGAAATTTCATATGGTGAAAGTATGGCAAACGCCTGCGGCGATTCGTGGCAGAGTGGGTGCGGTGCGTGTCAAAAGCTCCCAGTTCGACTACACATTCATCACAGCGTACTTTCCACCCCGCGCTCTACGCCACACTACAGCGACCAAGAACGAAGTTATCGTGGACAAAATCATCGCCCACCTGCATGATATCCTCGCCAGCCTGCCGAACCGCACCTGCGTATTCAGCGGTACGGACCTGAACGATGGCCTCAAGCGCGACATCGCCAATGGGGACGAAGATGCTACGATAGGGGCATTCGCCAGTGGCAAACAGCACTATGCAGGCGACGCCTTCCACGAACTCCTGAAGGACTACGCCCTTTGGCTGCCGACACTCACCACCAGTGCGGCCCGACGTGCTACGGACTCCGAGGTCACACCAGGTATATCGACTACATCGTGATGCCGATCCGTTACCTTCCCCGTGTTCGCAGACGCAACATCGCCTACCGAGTCACTAAGCGACTCCGTGCATTCCCATCACAACGGCTTCTCGATCACATGATGTTGTATATCGACGTGGGCTGCACTCTTACGTACGACAAGCCCAAGGCGATTCCGCAGTGGGACTTCACTCGGGTCTTTCTAGCCTCGCACGGCGAGGGGTACTATTGGTGGGCGAAGCAGCTCCGCGATGACATCGAGAAAGGCCTAACGAGCATCATACATGAGTACGGATACAGAGATATGGCGGAATGGGCAGACAAGCGTACGATGGAAGGCGGATGGCAGCATATCATGGCAGTTATCCGCGCAAGAGCGCTCGAACAGTTCGAAGCCGAAACACCTACTATGGACCGCGAATATCAGCAACTTGCATTACAACGCAGACAGACCCAACATGCGCGAACACTTGCAAGGCAGAGCTCGACCGACGACCTTGAGAGCACGTTGGCACTCCGACGATGTAGTTCGGAATGCAAACTACTACGACGACGACTACGCGACCACAAGGATGAACAACACTTCCAGGAACTTCAACAAGCTGAAGAAGCTGGTCTTGAAGCCGAGGCATGGCGCGCTTGCCGTCGTCTTGCTGGGAACGGCAAAGGACCTGGAAGGCGCTGTTATTTCGACCTGCCTGATGCACGGCCCTCGACCAAAACATGGACAGAAGATGTGGCACTACCAGGCGCTGAAGGTGGCATGGAATCCACACCTATCGACCTCCACGACTTCATCAGCAGCGCAGCTGAACATGACGAACGTTTCTGCCCTTCGGCTCATCAATGGCTACATGCCCAATGCGACATGGCATCTATACAGAGACGACTACGAAAGCATTGCAAACGACGACGAGCAGCACCTGAATGGTCACTCCCACCTGATGTGTGGGCACTCCTTCTTGTGGACCGCAGCGAAGATCAGAAGAATAACGGCTGGCATGAGTACGGCCCCTCGATGCGATTCCCTGGGCCCCTCCTGGGCGACGCTATACTCACACAACTGGCAGCAGTTCGGCGACACCAGCGACTGAATGCATGGTGGAACCTCTCACAGACCTACCAGGTGAGCAAGATGAATAACAAGCCGCGAACCCGAGGCGCACGGCTACTGCATGGACTATGCCCTTTTGGCAAATGCTGGGTTTCATCGAGGCAGATTATGACCGCCGCGCCCCTGGGCGATACCGAGCGCGGGTGCGCGCGTGCCAGATCGAGATCAGAAGCTATTACAGTATGACTGGCACTCCAATGGCGCCTCAAACGCATTCGCAAGAGCCACATCACCACCAAGCACGACATGACGAACGCGTTTGCCTCCGTCGCCC